CTCGTGGATTGCGCTCCCGCAGCCCAGCTGCCGAGTACAGTTGTCCAGTGCCGCAAGAAGCGGGTTCCTTCTCGATTTCGCGCCGTGTGGGAGCCTCCTACAGCGGCGAGGGGTTCGCATTGGATCCGAGATGCGGGGACCGCCCGTCGGCACCTCGCCGCTTCGAGAAGCCGGCGAAGAATAACCCCGCGAGCCGGGGAGCTCTCTAGCGGTCCTTGATATCGGACGGCCAGGTGTACTGATCAGATGGGTGTCCTGAACGTTCCGTTAGGCAGCGGGTCTCGGACTTCCCAGGCCGCACGGCCCTCTCGCGCAGGGACCTCTTTCTCCACACGTCACGCAGTGAGACGTGGAGTTCACACGATCAGTCGGCGTCGATGAAAGCTATGACGGGCGAGCGCGAGCGAGCAGTTCCAGATCCTCAGCCGCTGTGCAACGATGCACCCCACACACTCACCAGATCGATTCGGCGCTCAAATGAAACTTGCTCCGAAATCTAGTTTGAGAAAATTGATCTCGTTCGAAATCGCGGTCGAATCGATTGCGCTCACATGAGCTCCTCTCGGATCGAGCCTGCGCTGGAATCAATCAGAAGTAAGCGCTTCAGAGTCAATCATACACTTGGATTGATTCTGCGCCCCGCTCAATTGATGAGCGCTTGAGTTGGGCCGACTCGCGATCGGGGGCTCATACAGTAGACATGGAAGGTTCTCGGGTTAGCTGGACGGGATAGGAGTGAGAGTTCCGTCAACATTCTGCCGACCAGATCAAAGCGCACAAAATCGTCAGGGAGACGCTCTCTCTGATCGCGAAACATCCCCGAGATAAGTCAACAAAGCCTGAACGATGAGGAAACTGACTCCGCAGCTGAAGAAACGGCACGAGGTCAGGGGTGGATGTCTTCTTTGATTTTCTGGTGGATTTTCTAGACCTAAACATCAGCGGTACTGAAAAATTCCCTCGAGGTCTCGCATCTACGGGATGCATGTGCTCCAAGCCCATGAAGAAAGTTGGATCATTAATGAGAGATAATCTGAGTTTCTCAGATTATGCCATTAATCCTACAATGCGATAGGTGTGTGATGACACGCGAGGACATGATGGGACACCGACAGGATCTGTCCCGGTTTCACGCGGATAAGGTGATGCAGAATCTCGGGATGAACAGCCAGCTGCCGAAGATCCGCCGTTGTGTCCGATCGATTCCATCCTCAGAATTTCGAACAGGTGCGGCACCTTCAGCTCAGCCACACAGCGGCACTTTCGTGAACTCGGTCCTGCTCATTGATGATGTCCGCCGATGCTCAGTTTGACTTCTCTCTGAAAAGCACGTGTCGAATCTGATGTGCTACCTGCACCGCTTATTCGATAACACCTTCTCCGAAGCCGCCCTCGCATGAACTCCACGGCTTCGACAAGCGCCTCGTGCGGAGAAAAGAAGACACAGCTGATGTTTTCGTCAGAACGACCGCACTCTACGATCCCAGGGCAATGGAGCCGAATGCGGTTCCAGGTTTTGAATGAAACCTGTTCTGCTTAGAGAAAGAGGGATATGCTTTTCTGAGACGGGCCGCGAGAGGTGGACGCTTTGATTCATTTGGAGTGATTCGGAAACTCCGGTGCTCCATGGTGTCCAGCGCGCAAAATTTCAGCATTATGCTCTGGTTTTTCATTATTGTCTTCTCCTTGTCAGCAAGCTACAAGGTTGTCAAGACACAGGCGCCGAACTTGCTACTCGACCTCTACAACTCGGATGTGATAGAGCGATGTGACTTCCAGAAGCTCTCATCAATCGCCCCAATAGAAGTGAATCCCGGTAAGAGCCCGCAATCGAGTGAACTCACACCTCGAGCCTTGGAGAAAAGAGTCTGACAATAGTGTCATCAGGCATGTGCCTAAATGAATGAGCGGCGCCAATCCCCGCGACCAATGTCGACGAGGCGGTTTTCCGTCCACGATCCTGATACATCGAATTCGATTCAGTCGAAGAGGGTCCTCTCTCCTCTCTTGCCCGAGCGGATGTCAATTCTCTAATTGGCCGACTCTCGATAGGGGATCGTCCCTGAATCGGTGACCTAGCTGTCATGGTGGAGCACGCCGAAATTCGGATGAATCATTTTCATTTCTGCCGCAGGGGTCCCCAACTCGCATCTGACATTCAACTTGACGCTCTTGAAACCGGTCAGATTGTTTCATCTAGTATTCGATGGAGAAAGATTGCCGCACTCTGCGCTCAATAAGACCCTTGAGGTGCATATTGACGGAAAACGGCTGAACCTCGAACTGGAAAATGTGCGGAACTCCTCGATAGCGTCGATAGATCACTCGAACCTGGAGGGCATCGCCAACCTAACTTTGAACACGAACGATTTGACTGAGCTGAATCTGACGCTCGATAACGTAAGTCTTTGTGCTTATTTTCATTATCTCATAATCCGTCGACGCTCTTCTGATTCATCCGGGGGAATGGGGGCGTCACCGAACATAACCATCACACATGTGTGAGAAGTAAGAGTTACTCCGCAGATCTTCCTCATGACGGATATCGATGAGAGTTGCGAGGCCTGGAGAGAGTTCCGTGACCACAGAAACGCACGCTCCAAGAAAAGCACCGTCACGAAACACCCCATCGGGAAGAGAGGTGTGAGGACCGGTTGCGCAAGGATCCCCTTCGAAGTCGACCTCAGGGATATTCGGAGAGCTGACGATGAGGATGCAGATGAGTTTATCTATACCCCACTGAAATACGACATCGGAACTTGTGGCAATCGTTGCGTGTTGAGCCAATTGACACCGCACGCGCTTCTGCGCTCGGTTCTCCGTGAGAATATTGAGCTCAATCGGAATCACACTGTTTATAACCACGAGGTAAATTGACGCTGTGAAGAAAATCGCTCCGGGACTGCAGAAACCTGTTCCGATCCCTCACTCCGCGGAGATCATCCAAATGTCGAATGAACAATGCACGGTTTCCAGGTACTGAAGCCTGCCTGCCTCCCGACGGGTTTCGGCCCGCTTCAGATAATATTCTTCAGCCGCGTCAACAACGTGATGGAACTTCGCTTATTCAAAAATGTGGTGGTGAAAGAGTGCGGCTGCATATGAAGACCACCCTCGCTGATCCCACCTCGTGATGAGCTCCGCAAATCCGTCGTGTGCTCGGGAGAATTCCTCCATGCAGATAGAGCGAGATAGCTTCACTTCCTCTAACGTGCCCTAGGCTGCCACACAGTCGTATTGCCTCGAGAAGGGCCATACACGCCTGGGACTCATTCAGGGAGGAACGCCATGTCGAATTATTTGTTCGGAAAAACCTCCTTCCTCGATGTGATAAAGAAAGTTGAACCGAAGAGGACAATTGAAGCGATATTCCTGGATGACCCTCCTACTATCATTGCGTCACGAAGGCGCTACGCATTGTCGTCTTCTCGATGCTTAACCATGTCGACGAGCCGACCGGTGCTCATCCCCATTTTCTCTAGTCATGAATGGAGGTGACTACGGTCATACGTTATACAATTTGTGGAAGCATCCAGATTGAGTCGGATGCGACCTTCTCAAGCGTACAAACCATGAAAGAGTTTTAATCAGGCGGCGGCCTGACGAGAGGGGCTATATAGTATTGTCTCTCTAGCAAGAATGAGAGGTCAGCAGAATATTAACAGATTGTACCTGGCCATAGACCCAGTCTCCACAACGCTCGTATAGATATGTGAAGGAAATAAAAATAGAATAATTATAAAGTTTTTTGACAATGATTGATGAGAGGATCGAGTAGAGTCCTGAACCTTCGAAGCGAGGAAGCGGTTCTAAGCCGGATATCATCGCTCAGCTTTTAACTGCCCGCCCCTGTATAGCTTCTCGCCGGATACCGTACGAGCAAACAGGAGCTTCTTCAGAAGAGCTGTGACGAAGTGATACTGCTATACTTGTATCAGGTAGCGACTTCACTGCATCGTTTTGGAGCCTGGGTAAGAATCCCGCGTAGCTTCAGAATCCGGAGTCTCTAAGAGGACCTGCGTATGTCGAGAATCGTCAGATATCAGATTCTCGCTGCCGACGAGTATCATTTCGGATGGATTCATTCGCGGCAGGAGTAAGCTCCGTATGATGTGCATAGGACGGGCACAAGAGCGGCCCGCGAATGATTGCCTGGGGATTCCCTTCAGAATCCCAGTGACAACCCCCCTAAACGACCCAAACTGAGAACTCTCGGAGGGCTTCACAAATGAGATCGGCCTGAAATTTCTGGTCGTAAACCTACTCGACACCGCGAGCCTGGTTCTTACGTCAGCCCGAAGGGAGTACCGCAGGGCTTCTAGAGCAGGGGTGGCCAATTGGTGGTCCCCGGACCAGCTAGGGTCCGCCGCTGGGATTCCGGTGGTCCGCGGAGCACCCCAAGCACTTTCCGGACGAGACGTCGATGATATCTGAACGCGGCCCATGACCTTCGCAACGAGAACTCCGTTGCCCGCTCAGCCAGTGATGCGACAGCCGAACGTGCTGCTTAAGGCTCAGTGGATGCGAGGCGGCGTCCTGGATGAGTTCGTTCTCGTATTCCGATTCAAAAACATATGACCTACAGCTTGGTGGTCCGCGGGCCCCGTCGCGTCGCCAAGGCCTCTGTGGTCCGCGCGACCAGAAAGGTTGGCCCCCTCTGTCCCAGAGTACCAAGCAAGGGAGGGAACTTGAGTCGAGTCACCTCTTCAATTTTCCCTGGATGAATGGCTCGTGAATGATGCTTGCCTTTGGGGGTCATGTGCGGACTGACTGATCTGGGGTAATCGGATTACCCTTTTACTCCGCGAATTGCTCTCCTTCTGATGGGGCAAAAAACAATATCCTTCCCGAATAAGATATCGTTCCTCTGTCGCGAACGGATGAGAGTATGGAAAAAATGTACGGCCTCTTCCGAAGTAGCTCAGAAGCTCGTATTTATCGTTCTCATTCCGTCTCGGGATCCATGCTGTGCGGACGGCCCTTGTCTCAGTGCTGTCAACATGGCCAGCTCCTGGAGTTTTGACTGGGAGCAGTCGAATTGGTGGAAGTATCGGACGAACGACACACACCTCACAGGTGTCTTCGCAAATCGGTTCGTTTCGCAAACCACCCAAACTCTCCTCGGAATCTACTTGTCGATCACGGGTAAGATCGCTCCAGAGTCTCTCTCCATCGCAGTATCGGAATGAGAAAGGTCTCTCCGTTCCTCTCGACTCTGCAGATTTACTCTCCGATACTTCACCCAGAGCTCCGAGTAGACTTTGTTTTCGTCGGGTTATCGGAAGCGGATATTGCAGGTACATGCGGTCTTATCGCGAATTTTCTCGTGCTTGCAATGTTCATAAGAACGAAGGGTCGCCTGTCCCCTTCGTCGATGGTGCTCCTCAACCTGACTGTGACTGACATTTTCATACTCTTCTGTGGTTTTCCTACACATACGCTGGCCAATTTCGCCGGAAGGTAATCACGTGTTTCCCCAGTATTGCAGCTCGGAGCCTTCCGGCACCGACCGCAGTAGAAACCACGGGAAAATTATACATTGATTGCTACCGTGTGTGTTTTTTGTTTTTCCCACTCCAGATGGATTTACGGCGACCTCGGGTGTGCCCTGTACGGTTTTTTCGGCTTTTTCTTCGGAACGGCACACATCGGATCTCTATCCATCCTTTCATACGAGCAATACAGGATGATCTCTGAAATGAAGCCCGACTCGTGTCCCACCCAAAAGTATTTGGGTGAGAATAGAAGCTAAGTCGGATTTCCATGATCTCCCATGAATCTCACGGAAGGAAGTGAAGTTTTGAACCCCTTCCAGATCGACTCCATCATCGCTACAGGACCTACGTCATACTGATCTGGTGTTTTTCGCTTTTCTGGGCTTCGTTACCTCTCGTCGGGTGGAGCAGGTGCGAAACCCAATGAGTCGATTTCAGCGATCGCTACCGAGAAAAGAGGATCTTGATTGTCCATAGAATCGTATGCGATTCCAATTCCCACTCGAATCAAAGTGGTCCTCATCCATCCATGTTAGACCGCTCGCAAGCCGTATGAATCGAAGCACAGATGCAGCGTGCTTCCGAACAGTCCGCTCAAATACTGCTGAGGATTGAGAAGTCCGAGAATATTCCAGGTATTACTACGAGCCGTATGGAACAGCATGCACAATCGACTGGCAGACGAACGACTTCCGATACAGAACTTATATAATAGCCTACTTCATCGGTGGATATGTTTTCCCTTTCGGGCTGATGATATACTCGTACACTCGAATTGTGTTGATGAAAAGAGCCTACAGAATCCTGCACGGAAGACAGCTCTCCATCAAGGCAGATATCATAGGAACTCTGAAAGAAAATCGCGAAGAGGATCTGACTCTCGTACGTGATACTCAGCTCTCCCCTTGATCCCCCTGCAGATTCTTCTGCCCTTCATAATGGATGCTTCGAAGCGTTCGGTCAAAAATCATTCGGTTCCATTTTCCCTTCAGCTCGCGGTCCTGACCGTGATCACTTTCGTTGTGACGTGGACTCCATACGCTGTCTTGTGCGTTTATTGCGTATTCGCTGACCCCGCCTCAGTTCCTACGTCCATGATCCTTGCACCCTCAATCTGCGCGAAGACTTCAGGATGCGTCAACCCCTTCATATATACGTTCACGAGCAAGTGAGTCGATACTCGGCGATTGCGGGGTGGAGCAGTCGCCTCAATGGAGCTCCGGTGCGAAGAGACGATGGTACTCGATAGGGGAGCTTCGCTGAGGATACGAACCTTGCTTTCAGGAACATGCGCGACGGTATGATGGAAAGCCTGAATAAGATGAGAATACCGCAGCTTTTACCAGCCTCAAACCTCAAGGAAATTAATGCTACGTTCCTCGCCGATGATCAACCTGCCGAAAACGGGTTGCGTGGAGACTCACAGGAGTAGTCTACGACATTGCGTGACCAGTCCGGCGACCATATCTGGCATTCGTGTGTTAGAGATCCCCTCTCCTCTCAGTGACTACTCCGCGATTTCGGCGCCGCACAATTTATTTCAAATAGTTTCCGACTCCGGACTGCCGCGCCGATGCGGCCACTCACCTGGCCACCGAGAGACTTGCCTGCCTGACATGCACGTCCACGCGGCTGGCGGTACCCATGCACATAACGCGGTTATGAGGGGAAGGCCCCTAGGAGAACACAACGTATATCAGGAGAATAAGAGGCGCTATCCCTGAATCGGCGTATAACCTACGGATTTCTCAACGTCTCCTGACACGTGAGTGCCTCGAACTTCATCCATGCTTCAGCTGGACGAGTCTGCTCGATCGAGGTGAGTTTTCCGTTTCGAGTTCGTGGACATGGAAACCCGCCGAGGGGCCCACCCCTCGTTCGTCTTCTCGCATGAAGTCTCCGGCTTATTCTCCTCCCTTCATTTTCTGACTGGCGACACAGTACCGCCGAGCTCAAATCTTTTGTTTCAGCTTGCACCGAGTGAGCGTGTGCCTGATCTAGGGGATCATCTATGATTCTTCGAGAAAAGGAAAACATGATTCTGGTCGTAATGCGCGCATTCTGCAGCGGGGAAAAGCTAGCCTACTGATCGAGATTTAAAGAGCATTTGAGCAGGAAGTCGGTCGACACTAAAGGGGCTGATGGAGGTTCTCCGGAGTCGGAGAGGAAATTGGTTGGAAACTTGATAAAAATCCCATGGTGTTTCGATCTAATAGATAAGGATTTTATTCGCTCGACAGTAGGACCAAGACCATAGTGCGAGTCTGTCCGTCCCGAGGAGTCTCCTCGGTCTCATCGAGAATTCAATAAAAATAAGCTACTTACATTAGATTCGTGATTCCCGTCTTTGCAACTCCACCACGGTTTTGCATCGGGTCCCGGGCTCTTAATGACACGCGAGGAATGGGTCATCCATTATTCTGACCCTCCCCCCGACTTGCCCAGTAGCATCTTCCATCGAGAGCGCCAGCGTGATAGAACGATCGAGCAGGACCGAAGAACTCTCTTCCAGACCTTTCTCGAGACAGTGTCTCACGTGCTCGATTTCGCCGCCGAGCTGACTGTGGTGGTTAAGTCCCTTGATTTGTGGAGGACTCGATAAACGTCGAATCGTCCCCTTGACCCTGAGTTTCGTCCCGTCCTCGTCCAACCTGCGCGGTCGGATGCGAATGGAAAACAGAAGCTTATTCCATATGTCCGTAATTTTCCACTCGATACCTACGAGTCATCGGTCACGAGCTCGTGCTTGATCGCCAGGTTCGACTTGTACGTTCTTTAATGTCCGGATTCCGCTACGTGCTCGTGGAAGCGCTTATCTCTATCCTCCCCGATGGTCCAATGATCTGAATCAACCTCGGAATATCACGAATCGCCGACGATGTCATCGTACACATCGAATCATCTTCGAATTTGAGAACGATGCTTGAATGGACGTCTACGCCTGGAAGAATGCGGCGTACCGCCCTCAGCATTCTCTCCGACTCATGTTCCCGAGGAAAGGCGATGAGCGACGATGGATCTAGATGAGATTCTGTCTACCGATAGAAAAAATTGTAGCACAATCAGGAAAGGGTACTTGGGAATCCGCGATCTTGCCTGCTTTGTTCACGCTGCCGACCGCGGCCACTTGACGAGGTTCCCTACCGAACACATCCGAAGCCATGTTCAAGGAGTAAATAACTGACATGAGCCGAGGATGAGACTGCCGCCGAGCTCGAAATCCACGATGCAATTTTACCGACTGAGCTCTCTCGAACTCAAGAGGGTAATCATTTGTTTGACATGCCCGATGTCTTTCAGACTCATCATCAAATCCTCGTAGTAAGTCAGGAACGGTATGCAGATGGCCTGGCCATAGACACAGAAGTTAGATTGAGGTGGATTACGAAATTAAAAGAAAAAATAAGGAGAAAAAATTGAGAGAGCGCGACAAAAAAGTCTAAACAGAAACAGAAGTCAGATCGGGAGCGATGCCGATAATCACAGATCGTCTCCTATTGATGCGATATACGATAATGAGTTTGGACCGCTAAGATCCTCTCACCTCCATGAGGAAAACTCTCTTTCTTCGCGCGAGCCGGGTACTTCGGTTTGTTTAGAGCTTGAGAGCACATGGTCATGGGTTTCCCGCATAAAACTGACTTTCCAGCCTCGAGGAAGTACTTGACGACTTCATAGTGATGAGTGTTCAGCACGCCCTGCGACATTATAGCGAGCTTACCCTCTGGAGAATGGGATCTATAAGTCCCCCAAGCCGAGGATCCCCGCGGACCCACCTGTGGATTCTTAGCATAAGATCCTGGAACCCGGTGGACCCCCTCCCAAAAGAGCCTATGACGACCCGAATAAGGTCATAGACTAGCGGGGCTCCGTTGGGACCCTTTGAGAACACCCGCTGTAGAGTATACTTCATCCTCAACCGTGATCGAGAACGTTGAGCATTTCTTGGAATGCTCCCAGGCAGCAATTCAATGAGAATCCCTCTCCACCGTATGCCTCATGAAGAGCACAAAATCACTCCCTGCTTCCCTGCAGAGCAGATACCCCAACGTGTAGGCGCCATTCCTCTGCTGTGACGGTCGAAAATACACAATTCAAGCATGGAATCCATTTCACACATCAGACTGTACACGATTGCGTCGAGAGCTCCACGAGCTCTCTCGTCCTACACCTAGGGCAAGCTCGGAGCTTATTCCACGGCTATAATCATCTATTGAGGCTGGAATATCCGCCGGAAGTTTTCGGATAAGTGCACTCGTCCGGACAGACTCCGTCGGCGCTCATCCTGGCTGATCTGCGATTATCGATAACGCGGCGCCGCGCGTACGGGAAATCATCCAGATGATAGGGATACAATCGAAGAAAACACTCACCGTATGTCAGCCTGCGAACTGAATGCCTTTTGAGAGATCGCGACGTTTCGGAAGAGCGACGTCGGGTGTTCGATGTACAGCTGCTGGAGCTGATAGGTTCGGGCCGGGCGTCTTCCCGAAGTCTCTTATCCGCGCGAAGGGTCTCCAGTTTGAAGCCTCCAACCATCCCTTGTCGTCCCGAGCGACAATTCCGATTGAACGGATGGCTTGTGCTCGCTATCCTATCCCATGACTTTAAAGCGATAATAAAACATGCTCCTGGCAGGCTCTTCCTCATTTCCTTCCGGAGGTCTACTCGATATGAGATCGCCGGCGCTAGAAATTCACCTTCCGGAGAAAGCCGGAATGCTCGTCCGCGTGAAGATAATTGCGAATTAGAGGAGCAATATCGGAAATAGGATGAATCTGATCCGATACTCCGGCTTCAAGGCCTCGTGCTGATTAGTCCTCGCGCCAGAAACGAGGAGAGACGATTGCGGAGGCGCGGAGTGCTCTCCATGAGGCAGAATATGCCGTCGGAAGTCAACCCTAGATCATATCAAGCGATATCCCGTGGGATCCTCGTTCTTCGAACCAATCGACCGGCTTTCTCCCTTGAAGTCCGCGACCTCTCCCGGAAGTCTGGAATCGATTCTCCGCAAGAAACCCAGAGGGGTACGGCTTTCTACGATTCAATACAAGAGGTTTCGCTCAACTCGCCGACTTTATTTAGCGTTCTCCTCCCTTTACAAGATGAGGTGAAAAAATAAACTAATACCTATCAGATGCCGGGTTGGTCCCGAGAGAGCTCCCGCCGCTGCATTCTGTACCTCTGACTTTCAATCGGTTGTGAGTTTACAACGCTATAACAACATTTCGCGTGCAACGGACGGCCTGTCGGAGCATGAAATCTTACTGAATCCGATGGAGTCCAATACGAAGCAAGGCTCCGGGATACTTGACCTAGTCTACCTGAGCGGGGCCTAAGAAAGATTCGATCGCTCTCCTTAATTTGACGCTCCTGGTGCTTCTCGAGTTTAATTTAATCTTTAACTTTATGGTAGCAGGAACCTTTCCCGGACTCCCGTGATGTACAGAATGATGTTAAACTTTAATGAATGCCGCGCAATAAGGGGAACACCCGCACCGCGTCGAGCGCTCCGACCAGATTCGCAGTTCACCGATGTGGGACTCGATGCGCACCGGGGCCATCTCCGCTCTTGCACGAGTGAATCAATGATGTGACAGGTTTTCCCCCTGCTCAGGTATCACTCATTCCATTTCACCCACCGATCGAATCCTGCCCGATGATTTCGGACAAGCGGGCTCGAATCGAAATCACAAAACGAGGCTTTGCGGAGTCTCCTTGCGACGAGGAACAATCCCGTCACGTCCTGAACTACTGTGATTATGATCTTTCTAATCGGATTTTCTCCGGGGACTCTCCACAATCTCCCTCCTTAAAGCCTTCAAGGTGATAGCGAAGCTTTCCGATCGTGGATCCACAGAACAGTGCGGATCTTTTGTTTTGTTTCATTTGGCGCGATACGATCCGCGTTGTTCGTGGGAACGGATGGGAAAATCTTCTCAACTTTCAACAAAAACATTAGTCTCTCATGGTCTCACAAATGTCTGAAGATGGAGCGTAAAACTATCGGGGTGATGGCGAGCACTATCGAAGCTTCCCGCGGAGCAGCCGCCGATGTGAATCTCGCACTCCGTTCTCTGTTCGAGTTAACTGAAATTCGGGAAAAAATCCAAGTCACTACACGAGGCATGAGAGATCCGATGACACGGCAGGATTCAGCGCAGTCCGACTGTTTATGATAATTGTTCTCGACTTTGTTCATTTATTTATGTTTCGTAACAGACAATTGGTCTTAAGCAAGTAATCACTCGATTCGCTGACATAATGCGGTGAAAATGTTCAGAGAGGATGAGGATTCCATTCTGGATGGGACGAAGCTCTTGTCGAATGAAGAGCCCCAGACGAAAAAAAAAAATTAATCCGACACGAGTGAGAATGATGGATTTCACCTACCGAAATGGTCATGCCCCTCCCGGTGAGCGCACGACCGTAGGTCGGCCAGCGAACAATCGACCCCGCTCACTAGATCTTGTTCAAATTTCCTTAGCTGATTCTCCGTCAGTGAACTGCATTCTTTGATGAGCGGAACCTGTTTCATGCACTCCATCCAGAAGTCCTGTAAACTGTAACAGAAAAACCAAATTTGAATGGCCTGAAGCTCCCAGTTTGTACCACACACTGACATGATTGACTGAGACGAAAGAGCATAGAGCAGTCTACTGGAAAGCAAAGTCAACCCACGGCTCTCATACCCGCGCAGACTCTCTCTTGATCGAACGAAAACTTATGAGAGATCGACTTCGTACTTCCGAATTTCGCTCACCCCACCCACAAGATCCGGAACGAGGGCCGCGACTCCCCGGTCATATTATAGCTGGGTGAATGATTCATTCGAAGAACCCATAGCGCCTCTGTCGGGGACGCCTCTAAGACAATCCATACGACCGAGGAAGCCGCATGCTTTTCCCGATGGGAAGTCTGTCCACGGTCCCATTCTCAGCGGTGAATCATGTCGCCAGGGAACATGTCCACTGTCCACAATGGCTCACTCGAATTGTGCGACCATTCTATTCGATAGCGAGCGATCACAAGCGATCTGATAAGAAACAACATCCAATGCCGACAGCGGGATACGGTTCTCATGGAGAATGAACGTAGTCCCCCATGCGTTACGTTCGGAGAGCCTGCGCTTCGACACCACTCGACCTTTCGCAGTAGGACCACGGATGGCGGAGCAGAGCCTGAGCCGAACGAGAGGAAGACCTCCATTCACGACTCCAACTCGAGAATTCGCTCCCTGTCGGTGAGCGGTAAGGTCTGTGACTTCGAAGGCATTCCCAGTCCCGCCTCCGGTCCCTGCCAGTCCTCCCCGGAAAGTTTTCGATCATAGTCTCGATGCAGCCATCGAGCATTTCCGCGATCAGCGATACGAGTGAAGAAATACATATCTGTACCCCACAGAGCAATAAACCTGTTTTTCGAGTTCTCTCGAGTCCATGATCGGACGCAAAAGCAAAAGAGCAAAACTATCCTAAGTTCTCCGCTGTGCTCAATGTTTAGATGCTGATACCGATTCCGACACAAGAGCCCGACCCTCATTTGTGGGAGAGCCTTGAGAAAGCAAACCCAAAGCTACCGATGCCACCAAGACCTCGTTTTGTTCACCTTCAACACAGAAGCAAACAGCCCTTATCTCTTTGTAGAGGGGTTCCTCAAAAAAGACTAAACCCTGACGCAAATCACCCATATTCCAGTTTGGGTTATGGGGAGGATGAAATCCTGGTCAATGATTCCTCTGCAGAGCACGGATCTAGGTCGGCCCCTTCCGTTGAGTTTCGGGAGCAACTTTGTGGAAAATTCCGGTGGCCAGTTTCTCTAAACCGTTCTGAAATTCCGCGCTCGAAAAACGCCCCGTTTGAGGAATTTTCCCCAATTGGGAATTTCGCATTTGTGAACGCTCCTCGTGGAGGACCTCGCGTGTGAGGAACATCCCACATATGGAGCCTCGTTCATACGGAACCTCAACCTCCCCATACTTCTTCTGTGGTGACACAACGGAAAATTCCCGGAGCCGATTTCCCCCCCCTCGCTAGGCAGGTAACTCATACGCCTCGTTCTCTCGACGCGAGATTTGGCTCCCCATATGCTCGGCACCCCTTTGTGCGATTTATCGGATTCCTGTCGCGAGGGCTTAGGGTATTCGCAAAAACTCTGCGCTTGACCGAGAAACTCGCGTGGTGAGCTGAAGCGTCCTTCTCGACCTTGGATCCTTTTTCGACATCAGTCTATTTCCCTCCATAGGAGTACGTCGGGCTCGTCTCTACGAGAAGGCGATGATTGAATTGAATTGCCTCTTTTTTTCTCCTTTCTCGTGCACATGAAGGGAGAAAGATGACGCTTGTTAGAGAGGATGTTTTTTCAGGCGTAGACCTTCTTAAGGTTTCCTCCTAGAGATCAAAGAGAAGACAGCTACCAATCCGTCGGGCCGACCGGTCGAGGTTTTAGGACACTTCGCACGGGCTGTCCGGTGGACCGTACCAAGATGTCCCATCATCATCACGCGGGTCCTTTCAGAGACTTATAGGAGTTTCCATGGATCCTCGGAAGGAACCGAGAGCTCATATCGTACGGAACCCTTCCTTGGCCCGGGGAGAGCCGAACGGGCGAAACTATCCTCTTCAGAAGTATCCCCCTTCTCAGAAGTTCGTATTCGCAACTCGGAGAGTGAGAGCCGGCCGTGATTGAATCGAATTCTCTCGTCTGGTTTCTATTATTTCGAGTAATAATATTTCGGCAAGCTCTCACACAGTCACGGTCCAGCGACTATAAAGCGTCCCTGAGCCGGCGAAGCATGGGTGTCATCTAAATGAACTCTCCGGGTGTGTCTAGCTCACAATCAGCTATCGACAAAGCGGAGCGAATTCGCCGCGGCCCTATAATCGCTTCTACTCTCGCGGTCATTTCGATGACATTGCTCCAATACTGTGTTTCGGGTCACTCGATGCCCTCCGTAGGCATGACGTACTAAACCGAGCGAGTTGGCGTAGTGATACCATGATACGAAAACGAGGGAAGTTAGCCGAGTGACTTACAACGTCACTGAGAGTATTGTAATATGAGCTCTCTTTGACTGATCTATGAGCTGAAGCATGGAGCTGGACAAGAGTGAGTGAGTGAGTGAGTGCGTGCGTGTTTGAGCGTGTTAGTGAGAGTGTCTCTCCTACGAGGCCTCTGACACAGCGCGTTATCCCCGGGACAAATAGAGTATGAACGCCCGTCGTTTCCGCTATCGCACTCGGAACGTCCCAGATACTCCCGATCAAATAAACGACATTCTCGATGGGCATCACGCTAATCACAGACTGTGGGATATTACCGTATGCTTACACAGCAATACACAAGCTCGTTGTCTACTGGATCCCTAAGACTATTCGCAAGGGGAGCTCAGAACGAGAGATTTCTCCTTGGATAATTCGCTCCGATGAGGTCGGAATCAAGGCGATTCTCAACCGACACTTACCAACATACGAACTCCAGTTCTCCCATTTGATTCTGAGTCTGGTTCCTACGAGCCTCGCCGAAACATCTGACGGCGTAATCGTTGAACTGTGATATTTGCTTCTTCACGGGATCGTTCTCCAATTCTTCGACGTATTTATCGAAGTCTTCTATAACTTCTCGAATAGAAGGAGATGAATTATTTACTCGTGATACACAATCATTCCGGTGTCAATGTTTGCATGGGAGAAATTCGGGGTGCGAGCAGACTGGACTTACAGGCACCGCTTGATCCCATCATTGAGGCGACGAGGACAAGAACGAACCATTTTTCCATCGCGCTTCCGAGAGCTCCGATCTTGGGATTGAAGGAGAGAGCTGGGAGAGCCTGGAAGAAAAAAAGAAGTGACTCCCAGATTCCGCGTGGGATTTGAACAAAAGTTGTTCCACCAAACGAGATCACCAAGTTGAGGAGCTGAAGCGAGAAAGAGCATAGTCCCGGACTTTAAGAAAAGATTTGCAAACGTGAAGCTCTCCAAAATGCTAGAGAGTGCCTTCAATCGATTCTCGTTGTTCGGAAAACAAGGAAGTCTTCGAATTCTGGATTCCTGGCTACACACTCCATTCTTGTCCACGCAGTCGATCAAGATATTTTTCCCACTTCTCGGCGCGACTTTCTCACGGATCCAGCCATGAACGTCATCGAATTCGCGCCGTCGGAGCATCCGAGGATGTCCGAATGCGCTTTGTAGCGTTTTACTTCGTAATCGATTACCTACTCCCAGTCACGGCGGCGGAGTGTTTTGAGCACGATTGCCGTATCGATCTATTCATTCACGAAATCGACATTCCGGCGTGGAAGTCAACAGTCGAGTGGAGCTCTCAGTCGGACGTTTTCATGAATGGATTCACGATCCCTGGACTCAATCTCGACATCTACCCGCACCAAGCGTGAATAGGTTCATTCCATCGTGACTTCGAAGAGAAGAGGAGATACCTTAGCTTGTCCGTGAAACACGGTGTGCGTTTGCATTCGAGGTCAGCTTGCGCATGAATTGTTGATAACTGTTTCCGATGGCCTCGCGGATCCTGCGGGCAGTAAGAGCTAGTCGACTTGTGACACTGACACCCTTTCTCAGAACTTATTCTCCGTCACGTAAAAGGCCATACCCAACGAGCGGCTCTCGTGAGATCGAGACTGCTGCTGCTGCTGTTATTTCTGAGATGAATGGAGTTTCCCGAAGACTCCAGAAGAGCGTTCAATCAGACAGATACGCTACTGCCAGGGCGATTGAGGAAACAAATGAAGTTTTTCGAAGAAGCGTCGCGAATCATCTGATTTCCGCCGCAGACCAGATCGGCACCCCGTCCGGAAATATTTCGGCAACGAATGACGCAGTGGCTCCAAACTCTCTAGGGCTCATCAGTCCGCGGAACTCTTGTGCATATCTCGACTCATGGTCCGATCCTGTACACCGGATCTCCGGATCGATACTGATGAGGAAAGTCGTTTTTCACAGGAACGAATCTGATGGGACTTCCTCATTCAGCGTAAGGGATCGTCTAATATGAACTGAAATGAGCTGTCAGATTCAGTGTATTGACGACCGGAAGATGATGAACGAATTCCTCCTGGGTTCAACAGACCTGCACCGGCGAGATCAGCAGCGCTAACGGGCATTCACAGGGAAAAGGAACACGGTGACGGTTAAACTGCACTCCTCTGCTCCGACTCTGTGATGGCCTGGCCAGCTAGAGTTTCCGGAATTACTTCCCGCCACGCATCGTTTCGGGAGGTTCCATAAAGAAATGATCGTATGCGGTAGAAACGTCATTACAAGCTTCAGATCCGCCGCTCGAGCTTGATCGCCTTGTGCCTACCTAAATGAGCCCAACGAGTAAGTTCCTCGCAACCCTTGAAATAACTTCAACCCGTTCGAGGAGCGCTGAGTCAGCTAAACGGAATCGAAACATTGAATCAGGTGCTGAGCTGAATAATGCCATGACACGAAATCCGGATTCCGAGTAAAGGTGTTCCCTTGCGGAAAAAGAAAGTGATACGTCGTCGTCCGTCAGAAGATTCATGTCCGAGCGGTGAGAGGATTGAAAAGATGTTCCGTACGAACTCATCATCTCTCCAGAGTCTCTGGCCTCATGTCAATGTCAAGGCTGACATTTTTGCTTCACGCCCGTTCTCCCTGTGCATAGGGCGTTGGCGCTCCCGTGTGAGGTAATGAGAACGTAATCCATGAGCAGCTGTTCACGGTTAGTGCGGCTAAAGGAAACACTGATTGGATCCGTCATCCACAATTTCTGCTCTGCTGACTCCAGGGATTCTGCTGAGCTATTTAAATCTGTACAACATAGTCGTCGGCCCTAAACTTTAGAAAACGAGTCTCTAGTGTAGAAAGCAGCCGGCCTTCGCGGAAGCCCACCTCATCTGACGTGATCGCACTTGCGCAGTCGCCTTGGTACTCTATTCAGTAAAATACGTTCTGCGCTTCAAAGCCGACGCTGGAACCGGTATTCGGTGAAACTCGGCGGTGGTATCGGACTGGTTCCCCATGTCAAGCGTGGTGCAATGCGGAATAGTCACAGATGCTAGCCTCGATCAGCGCGGGAAGAATGCGCCATGCCGTGAGGGAGGTGGTGAGGCTCCCGAAGTGTCCAAGCTCTTACGTCGTATAGACCGTTTTCCGTCACAAGTTTCCCTTTCCGGGAGATCCTGTGATGAGAGTCGACCCTGCGCCAAGTGCCCTAATCTCTATCATCTGGAATGACGGATCACGGACCTGTGCTCTTGCCTTGTATAGCAAGAGCGGCCAGTGAACCACGCCCGAGCTATTGTTTTCACGGATTCAGTCCCATGAGCGCAACTTCGAGAATGCTCTTGACGGAATCACCTCCCCTAAACTCATTCTTTGTTGAGAGTGGCTAGCTCGAGCGGACAACGTGCCAAATCCCGTTCAGCGACTGCCGTTCAAGGAGAAGCGGCCGATCTGTCGGAGTCGGGAGACTATCCGATAGAGTCAGCCTGCGATGCGAGAAGAGCGTTCTCCTCGCTGATTTTCTGACTTCCTAAGGATTTTTCGACTCCGCGAATCGGATTCGGAATAGATGTCATGCGATCTCGAACCGGGTCATGACTCTCAATTCTCCAAAGATGGACATGGACAGAGAATCGCGATAACTTGAGCAGAATGAGGTAACGAGCATGTGACGTAATGAAATTGAGTCTAAACGTGAAGTACGTGAACGACTCATCCCTCGAGTGGAATTTTTACGGTTCCTTTTGGCCTCCCGGGCTTGGACGCAAGCCCTGGAAGTCAGTCAATTAAGGGTGATTGGGCTCAGTTGTCGGCTGAATCTCTCACCGAGTCGAGGATGCTCTTTACGGGAGCCAGTATCTAAGACCCTGCTGAATCTGTCTTGATTATGACTGCATTATGCGGAAACGACGCGTCGTCGAGAGGTGTCTTGGAACGAAATTGTTTGGCGCTGAAAGACACCTCCTCGAGTAGCAGGCGTAAAGAATCGTTTAGTCTTGTCTCGACTGATGATAGGGACACGATATTTTCTCTTCCCGGGAAATCTTCTACCTGCCGCTTCGATTGGATCAAGAAAAATCGAGCTCCGAAGCCACATATTTACTCGGTACGGGGACCAATTCGGCGAGAAGGGGTAACAGAGAATACCGCCTCGTTTCTTGCCAGTACTGAATCTTGGAGGAGTGTTCGAGCGAAGGAAGAGAGAAATGGGAGATTCCATCTAACGGTCGAACGACAAAGGTTATCGATCCAGTCATTGAATTGAACAATGTGGTTTCCTAGGGACGCGGACGGAACAAGGAAGTTCCACAGCGGAGACAGTGCCTTCCTACGGGCAACGAGTTTATCAGCTCTACTTGAAACGGGACCGATAACATTGTGATTGTTGCGAGCTTCCAGAGAACTAATCGATTCATGAGCACAGCGCTCCCGCTGAGTTGTGTCACATATAACGATTTGACAATGAGTAGTTGTGCTAATTATCATCAATGAATATTCCGATGTTAGGCTTGGTCCAAATGATTTCTCGCGTGTTAAGAAAGAAGTCGTTGACGCAGATCCGATGGATCGTAGTTCGAAATCAGGTCAGCAGAACGTCTTCATATGAGCCTGAATGACTTGTAGAATTCCGACTTAAAAATTTGTTCCTCGAGGGAGGTCTGCGCAGTCAGGACTGCGGAATTCGTGATTCCGAGAGGTCAATTATCCGTGACGATTTCCAGAATGGTCATCCGGATTGAATTCCCACGCCTCCGACACTCTGGCGCAACACATGAAAATTTGACTGAATCACTGGTCGACAGGATTGACAAGCTCGAAGTCGCTGATGAAGAGGGTCGAGGGAACCAATCCTGTCTGTCGTCGAAGGTGACGTCTCAGGTTCATTGGCGAAACGCGCAGACGTAATCGCAACGCGACGGCTCAAGGGTATGAAGAAATCGCTGGATCGTCGTCTAGCGGCAAATCAGCCAAGCAACGCCGCCGCCCGTCAGCGAGCCAGCGAAAGACACCGAACTGTTGTGTATATCTTGAAATACAGACGGAAATCATCCGCTTTGAATTCGGCGTGACTTCGGCTAACGGCGCGACGGGGAATGTTTCCGAATAGAAAACCGAAAATTGAAATCTCAAGGAATTCTGAACTGCAGAGAGCATTGCATGCCCTCCTTTGGGCACACCGCCAACCTGCAACGATTCTCGGATATCAATTCAGAATGTCATCCAGTCTTCAGCAAACTTCGGAGAGAGGTCCTAGAGCAGTGTCTTCGGCCGTGCGTTTTCATGCGGGATGCTTTCAGGACTTGCACGGATGTCAACTGACTGCCAGAGGGTGCGTGTATAGAGGTTCTCTCGGAAAGTTGCCTGAGGCTCCGAAACCTGGCGAAAATCCAAGTTTAGACGCCGATTCGAGTGGAGGAGGAAAGGTCGCTTCGGGACTCCAATGCTTGAACGACTCGATTTCCGCTCGTCACCCGCTAACCTTACTCGATTCACGACGAAATTTCCGATTTATCGATGACTTCCGGAATTTTCTCAAGGCGCCTATTGGGATTCAGAGGGGCCGCTGCTCGTATGCTCTCCCTGAACGCAATATTCCTCGGAAGCGAAACCCGGAGGAGTGAAGGCCGAAGTCTAGATCCGATCTCGATTTGGAACGCCCCTGGATGCATTTATCGGGGTTCCATCTCATTTTTTGGCGTAAGCTCGGACCGAACCTCTTCGGAGAGGGCGGGCAAGAGCACGAAGAAATTCTTCCTAGAAATCATGTCTGACCGCAGTGACTCTTCGCCGATTGATGGAATTCAATGCAGGTTTTGGGCTGGTAAAGCGAGGGGCACGAAAGACATTTCCGTCTCCGTCCTTCAAGCTGTCTTTGCTGTTTCTCTCCCTCCACGTCCCGCGGATGGTTCCCCCGCTATATGACAACGGAGGTCGTCGCCATGATTGCAACGTTCCGAATGATTCTATGAATTTCCGATTCGAAAGGATGGAATTAGGGAAGAGAAAACCCATCCGATTGAGAATCGTGATTGAGAGGGGCTTCTCGGGCGGAAGCTTCTCGGCGATCTCGAGTGCTTTTCACCACGAATTTCTAAATGCTCTCAGAGCCGCGGGGTGACTCAACCTCTTGATTCGCCCTCTAAAGCTTGGTCCTGAGTCGCATGATTAGGAATTCCGTTCGATCGATAGCGACGCCTCTCGCAGATCTCTCGAAACTCCTCGCTTTGCGAGACTTCTGGAGTGATTCTCGGACTGATGCGAAAACCTATCTCGCTCGCAACGAGGTCGTTCTGATGAAACATTTTCATGCTTCCGACGCCGTACCCGAGATAAGTTTGTCTCCTCATTTTGGGGGGGGGGATATTTTTCAACGAGACTCAAAAGAAAACTCTGCTGTCGCGGATCTTTCGACAGAGCGATGGCCAACGATAGCGGTTCGCGATAAGAGCGGTCAACAATCGAATGGACTTGATTTCGGAAACTCATTGCGGTCCCCGCCACTTCCGACCGCGTTTCGCTCGACAAAGAGTTTTACGATTCCTGCTCTCCAAACAGCTTCTCTTTCTGATTGCCGGAGGTTCCGACGCTTCACCTGGGCGAATACATCAGGCCGAGCTAACAGTGTTTTCGGACCCACTATCCCGGATCGAGAGAAATCCGTCTTCGCTCCGGATAGAGATAATCATGTTTTTCTCTCGCGGGACCTCAACCGAAACCTTGCGCGATTACCTAGCCTACACAGAAACTCTGAGGTGATTGGCGACGATGATTCTCACGAATATCGGCGCGACTGCGCTCTATTCCGAGCCCTCACCCGTCCGAACGAAGCGTGATGGAATTGTCTGGGCGAGACCACATGTTCTCCTACGGGAAGTAAACATCGAGACAGGGGCGGGGCTGGAGTGCGTTGACGATGGTCATCTCCGGCGAATTAGCGTTCGGGGGTTGGGAGGGTCCAATAGGATTTGGAATTCTTGACATTCACCATTGAGTAGAAACTTCGAATGCGATGTCCCGATGGATTTGTTCGAGTTCGACGACACTCCATGATGATTATAAGTGGAATATCGGGTCGTTTCCCGCCTGTTCGTACCCGTCGATGCCAGATACCCAACGCTTGAATCATTTGCCGGAATAATGGAGAGTCTCACAAACCCAGAGGCGTCGAGAGGCCACCACCATGACCAGCGCTCCAAGATCGAGATCAACCTGTTCTAGCGGACGATGGTGTCCCAGAAAGGGGAAAACTACCACTTCGGATAGATGTCGGTGACCCGGATAATTATACGAGATAGAATACTGCGAGGAGAGCCAATGAGATTTACGCGGTCCTGCAGTTCATGAATTCGGCGAGCGAGAGCCGCGAGTGCGGGAACGCAACTGTACGACATCGCGAGATTCGAGTCGCTAGAGAGGAAACGAAGATCACTAGCCATACCGTCAAAAATAATTATCGGGAGACGCCCTCATTTTCCGCTTTAAAAAAAATCGGCAAACATGATCAGGCGAGGAGAACTTAATTGGCTCTGTCTCACTCGCGAACCTGTTCGCTCCGAGGCGGATTGCAGGAACTTCAAAGCAAATTGATCGGAATCGATTTTCAGCGAGATCGAATAATTAGCAGAGCGGAGTCGGAATGATTACAATAATCGAGCTCGGTGGATTCCAACCCTATCGAGAAGCTCGCCGATGTTCCGAGACTTCCTCATAAGAGCATAAACACTTGTCGTCGAAGGCCGAAAATTTTCTGTTAGTCTATTCCGTCCGCCAACAAGCAAGCGCGATCACTGCACGTTCGGTTTTCTAGGAGCGTCGCGTGTCCCGGAATCACCGAACCACTCAAGAATTAATCCAACGTACAGGGGCATGCTACTGCTTTCCAGCAATGTCAGCGACTTATCGATCATGAGTCGCGCCACCATACGAGGGAAGAACTCCAGAAATTCGCTAACTACACGATACTTACCGAAATTCACGAATAATCCCCTGAAGAACGAACGCAGGGATGATGAAACTCACAGAACTTATTGGAACAAGGCACCTACGATGAATAATTCAGTGTCGCTGACAGAGTAAACAACCACTGCTGTATGGCTGTTCGACTGTTTTCTAACCTGTGCTCATCAAGGGTGCAGTTGTTGTCTCGCCAAAAGAGAAAGAGAAATTTTCGTTCATGTGTAAGAGATATCCGCCACAACGCATGCGCTGTTCTGCTCTTGTCGCCGCTGCTGCGCCGCGCCGCCACCACCGCGCACTACATACCGTAGGAGCAGCTCACTCCATCGGCAAGCCAGCCACTCTCTCGCGCGGGCGGGATATCCTGATGAGGGAGGGGGGCTCCTGACGCAAGAGCAAGCCAAGAAAGGGCTAATTGCGAGGGTCCTTGCGACTTTTGAGACTTGCGACTCATCTCGCTCCCGGGAGAAAGAAGAGAAAGATAAAGTAGTAGAATGGCGCTAATTCAACTACAGTCGTGGATGAACTTAGCAGTCGTAAACCATTATCTCCAGTCAAAATGCGTTGGCTCTAGCCGAGCTCTCGAAATATGAACGTTGGGGCAATTGAAGTATTAAGTCGATCTTCGTCCGCTTCGGGCACCTGGCCGCCAGACGTCACGAGCTCCACGAAAGCGAGGACCTTGGTTCCACCAGAAATTCGTGCTCCGTAGGATCACGCTCTTGGCGTATGTACGTATATCGGAAGAGCTGTGCAGAAAACGTCCAGGATTAGAGCCTGACTGAAATAAGTGATATGACTCGGAAAGAGAATCGCAAACATCGCAGGTTCCGGACATTGCTCCGCGCCTACATGCATCCCACGCTGCTCAAAGAGTTCTCCGAGATGAGCTCCGAATACCGCCTGCCGTAACAGACTGCGAATGCCAGAGAAGAATTCGAATGTCCCTCGGGACATGTTTGAGTCCTCTGACATGTATAATCGTCCTGGAATGCCGTGGTCCCCCGATCCAGTCGTGGATTTATCCAGCTTTCAAAGGCTGCTTCGGCGACCCCCTGAACATTGAGACGGATGAGTTTCAGATCCAATAGTCGGTTTTGAATTCCGCCGTTCCGTATATTTGGGGTAGCTCCCGAGCTTTCGAAGGACTAGCAAACATTTTCGTAGTAACTGTCAGGAGAGCCAGTCTCGTAATACGACCGTATTTGTTGAAAGGATCCTTCTGTCGCGTCTGACTTTCCATAAAATGTACTCCCCGCGCCTCAGATGCGTGAATGGTATCTCGCTTCATGAAAGCATACGAGGTCGAAATTCAGGAAAGCCTGCTTCAGAATGTTGCAGACACGCAAAGCCCAGTTCGAAAACCCCAGGAGCCTTGCAGACAGAAAATCGCTTCGGAATTCCCTGCGCGTAGCACTTCGATCAGCGATGTAATTCGATTCTAGTTCCAAATTTTACAAGACTCGCCGCTTTTTGAATTCGGCAAGACTCGTCCGCGGAACAGAAAACCCCCACCTTTATCGAGAAGCTTCTGATCCACATCCCGTAGTATGACCCGCAAGACCGAATGATATCCGGATGCCGCAAGAATAGTTCAGAATTTCGCCTTTTCGTCTCGCTGGAGATGAGACAATGGCTAGGATGAGGTTCATGTTTGAGATAATTACGTTCGAAAGAAGTTCGAGCTGAGTTAGCGAGCCACCTACATAAGGTCCATACACGGTCGAGGAAGCTCCCGTTGAGACTCTCCTCTAAGAGGTGTTAATTCCAAGCTCAGGGCGATGCGTAGGGAGTCCAAGGATTTGAGTCCGTGACGTCAAGAGCCTGAAATGATGCTCTTAGTCTGCCTCATGCCTACCCAGGGATAGGGAGCACTCGACACGCGGCTGAATAATTTGCCACGCAGTCGATTTTGTTGAATTCGAGAGAATCTTCGCTTCCAAATGGAGAGTTGTTGATCCGCATCTGATGAGCTCAGCCCTCTTTGCGAAGCAAAGTACAAATAATCCATCCATGGTATCGCTGAGAGGCATGGATTCATAACAGACCTGAACATAAACATATTCCGACAGATTCTTCATGTTCTGTGCTTTGAAGAGACGAAATCGCTGAGACAGCGCTCGCAGTACCCACGCGTCGATGATATGGGCTGAATCGACTAGGAGTTTCCTCTCGACCCTCTTGACGCGGAGAATGCGATGGATTGAACATCCATTCAAATTCATCCGGAGGAATGGCGAACGGAGCAGAGAAATCGATCTTTCCGTGTTCAGGGAGAATGGGAATCATAATCTCTCACCGTCTGTGCGATGGAGCCCAAAGGTCGCAACTTTTCCTCGTTTTTCTCCCAAGTTTCCGGATAGAGACTTGCGAAGTCTCCCGGGACAATATCTCGGGCTTCCCACGGCATACCATCCCGAGTCGTGGCTAGGGCTCAGTCATGAGCACGAATAATCCCCAAACAAATTCAGACTCGCTCGCAACGGAAACGGAGGAACTCCGATTGGACTTCGGAGAGATACATGGACGCAGGGTCGAACTCTCCCATCGCTGGCTTGGAGCAGGGAAAATGAAAACAGGTGGAATATATGGGCATCGTCTATCGGATACACTAAAGAATTATGGGAAACATAATCTCCTGGTGGAATAATTTTGGGGAGCATTAAATTCGATTTCGTGGCTCGAGGGAGCTGCCCTCATAATTGCAGAGAGTCGGGCGCTCGGCTTGACTTGATGGGATGCGAAAGAACATGCGGCTCATGCGATGCTGATACGCAAGCTCTGGAGGACGATGAGCTCCTGAGGCTGGCAGGAATGAAATCTATTGGAACCCTCGATCCTCTGATCACTGATCACCCCGATCATGGTCCCGAGGCGATTCCCGAGCCTTCGCGGGGGTTCAGGGAAGCTCGCTCGGTAGACTGCTGTGCCGTCATTCGAACTAGGCGATTGTCGCCGGAGCAGTCCTAGTACCATTTGAAGATATTGTGGAGAGCTCTGAGTTCGGTCTCGGAGCTATCGGCTCATTGGGTGATGCAAAGCTAGCGGTCCTCACAGTTTCGCAGACTCGGGCGGTCGGTATACCATGAATGACAACATGACTCTCACGCGATGCTGACTCGCAAACTCCGGGAGTAAGATGAGCTTCTGAGGCTGGAGGGAATGAAACTTATTGGTACGCTCTCGATCCTCTGATCACCCCGATCATGCCCACTTAGTAGGCTGCTGCGTTGTGTATCGAATCGCACCTTGGCGGAATGGTCGGGGCATCATTCGAAGAGAGCTAAAGGAGAATAGAAACATCCAGCGACCCCCGGAGAAAAACTCGTCATTTTCCGGAATAAATTGAGAACGATGCGATTGATCGAGAGGGAAATTGCTTCTTACGCTAACAGGAATGATTCTGCATCGGCACGAAGTGATTACAGGTCCTTTCACACGCTAATAACTCCGATTTTTGGTACGGTGACAGACCGACACTACTGCTTTATTCTATAGGGGGATAATTTCCTGCGGACCACGATGCGGAACAACAAGAGCGAAATCTTCACTCCGGGAAATTCTGAGTTTTTATGGCTGCACGGTTCTTAGCGGATGCTTCTCTCTTGGTCCTTACTCGGGGGCCCAAGGTGAATAAAATGTCACGGGGCCCCGTCAAATCGTTCCGAAGAATTCATTTGAGGGACCGCCCTCAGGCTACCAGGTTTTCATATGAATTCAAACCGACCAGGAAAATTAAAAATCTCGCGTTAGTGTGGAGAACAGGGATCCCGGTCGGAATAAAACCTTCTCTTGGGAGATCCGGCCCCGGACGAACGCGAGATTAACTCGCGCGGATCAAGCCGAGTCCCAGATATTCGGAAGGGAAATTTCTTCACAGAAATTCATCTTGGGAGCTCCAGCACCGTTGACAGCGGGAGCTGTCCTACTCCTCGCGGCTCCTCAATAACCCTCCGTCTCTTACGATTGCCGTGAGGGATTCATATAAATGGAGATTAAGACCGAGCTCTCCAAACAGTATCTGATTTTGATTTCCGAGAGCCCAAACGGAACCGATACCGGGCCCGCAGCATTCTCCATCGTGCAAGCGACTAATTCGGATACGCCTCGAGGTGGGTGGACACCGATAAGTAGCATCGTTTGCTGGGATGAGAACGTAGCTTAGGTCAATCGTAATCTTCCCCAATCGACATCGCGATCATTACATGAGACGCTTGGTGGCCATCGACTCAATCAGACTGCCGCGCCAAATGATGGTGTTTTCCGCTATCAGAAGCATCCTGCCATTTCCTTCGTTCCGTCCTCGGAGCAGCGCGGGTCTTCGAAGTGGAATCGCGCTGTGCGGCATTGTATTACAATACAACATCGGGGAGTGCTTCGGAATGAAAATTTTAGTTCTGCTCCCTCCCAAGGTCTGAAATTTCTGACGGTCTTCGCGAGAAGCGTCAGTCATCACTTCTCGGAATGATTCGCGAGAAGTCTCGGCAACGCCCGAGAAAGCATTCGGACAATCTAGGTGCGTTCGGTCCCCCGTTTTCGTGGAATAAATCTCTCATTGTTGATGACCACTGGCCGTGGAGCTGATTGGGTCACTTCGAAGGGCGTCCCTGTGATTGGGCTAAAACCAATCGGCAATTGTGGTCGCTTCTCCAACTCCGGAGAGAGTCTCCGGCCGGATACAAGACACTTCTACTTGCTATCTATCCATAGCAACAGCCATACCCATCACTCCGTTCTGCGCTGAATTCCGGTACGCTTATTGGCTCGAGTGCGGTTTCCTGATGAAGTTCCCCCGCACACGTCATGAGTACGGAGACCAGTCAGCCAGGACGGCTCGTGAGGATCGACATATCCCCCATCCAGGTGTCTACGGACAATTGAGGCGCAAGAATCCTGATCGCTCCCGGGGGCCAATCGGAGAAACGGAAGCAGCGCAAGAGCTGGGGGTGCTGCATGGCTGCCCGACGGAAACCAACTTTCGGCGAACTCCACGATGCGGCGTGAAAGGAAAGGGATGATTAGAATACGAATGGCCCAGTGGGAAGCGATTCTTTTCAATGAGCAGCGCCGCGCTGGGTAGGTCCGAGTCCCCATGTGCGTCAACGACGGCGTGCACCAAAAAATTGGACGGAGACTTTTTTCCAGGGAAATGAAGCCTTAATTACCGTTCAAATGCTCTATAACGAGCTCACGGAGAAATAAGTCTCCGAGCGGGACAGATGCGCGGGCTTTCCA